GAGGATGTTGGGTGGCTAGCGCGCACCGCGACCAGCCAAGGACGAGCAGTGGGGATCGATGTGCGGGCTACGCGCACGAAGGTCGATGGCATGCGAGACAACGTGCGCGGGGGAGGCACCTGCGAGAAGACCGCGTCAGCGCACAACGCGAGCGGGCACGCGGGCGGGTGCGGCAACGCGCGAAGGGCAGCTGGCGGGCGTGTGAGGCGCTACGCGCGAGGACGGGCGGGCATGAGTCCTCGAAGGACTAGGAGTATCACGCCGCCTAGGGATGGACAGCGTGACTTGGGGCGCAAAGTAGAAAACGCGTGGGACGCGTGGGGCGCGATGGAGCCCATGACCTCGAAGGACAAGGACTAGCCGTGACGGCTAGGGTTTGGGCGAGGCGCGTGACACCAAAGGACCGAGAACCTTCTAGAAGGCCTAGGGCCGATTATCACTAGCGTATTAGGAATCATAGTATGGTTAGGGTTTGGAATAAAAGGCATGTGCCTAAATAGTTTAGGTAAGTCTATATTCATTAGATATCTAGTTTTCTTAGGACTTTATTTATTTCCATGCATTAGGAGTTCTTCTTAGACTAGGATTAGAATTAGTTTGGCATCTATAAATATGCCCATTGTCATTCGAAAATATCATGCTGAAATTAATGAAAAAGTCGAACCTTGTGTTCAAATTCTTGTGTTAGATTTCTTTTGAGATTTAGTGCAAAACCCTTGTCACAAGAAGGGCGTTTCACCGCATAGCTCGAGCAAGACGAGTTTGGCAAGGACTCACGTCCGAGCTGTCTCACCTATCGCGAGAAGATAAGGAGATTAACCTCCGAGTCATCCGCAACCCTCGCCGAAGATCGAGTTCACGCAACGTCCGAGGCAAGGTCACGAGTCGGAACACGCTATTCCTCATCACTGAGCCACCACGCCGTAATGTTGTGCCAAGTATTAATATGGATCGGGCTCGACAGAAAAAGGGGACCTCTCATTATCACGCGTTCCAGAAACAAGAAAATCCTACCCTTCGTCCCTTTCACTTGTTTTTCATCGCTTTCTTCATATTTTTCATTGTTGAACACGGATTTGCACTCGGATTTTGCTACTGCTTTTGGATTAATCTTGTTTATCAGATTCAACTCTCAATTTCGGTCAATCGTAAGATTTTCTATTCTTCTAATCCATGAATATGTTTGTCTTGATTTGTGAGATTGTTTGTGTTGAATCGATCATGAGTAGCTAAATTCATATGCTAGGGATAGGGGATTGATGTTTTGATATCATTTGTGATTGTCGGGCTCAGGATTGTTCAATTTCATACTTGTTGATCTTTTTCTAGGGTTTTTCAATTGTTGGGCTCGAGTATTTAGAATTGTTGAAGGGTGACACTTCAATCACCAATTGTTTACAATTGAGTTCGATTTATCCTTGCTTGATGTTGGTTATTCTATACGGACTAGTTTATTAAACACTTTCTAGTCTCTTTAATCGACTCTTAGAACCGAAAGGGGAGGAGTCAGTCGAAATAGGCTCGTATGAACTAGGCTTGTTCGTAACTGTATTGCCTAGGAGTTAAATGAATTGCTAATTTGCCGTTCTAGTTTGTTCCCTTGTTACGAAAAGTTATTGAGAATGAGTGCTTGAACGTGTCGATTAGTCAAATCACTTAACCGAACAATCTCTTGCTTGACAATTACATTTTCGAACCAAAACGGATATCCCTGACTCCCTAGCTCCTTAAATCCTATTTGTTCTTTGTCGTTTCTTGCTATTTTTACTTGCTTTATTTGAAGTTGTTCTTCGTAGTTAATAATCAAACCAAAGCATCTGAATTAGAATGTTTAGGAATTTTATTTGATTTTCTTTTGTGTGGTTGAATAAACGTGCATAATAATCCGGCCAAGCTTCCTCGAGAGACACGACCCGGTGTTCGAATCTTTTGATTCTACTCCGGTAAAAATATTTACAACAATGGTTAACCGAAATAACCAAAATACCTAAAATAAATTATTATTTGTATTTGTAAAAAAAACATGTATATTATTTTAATACTTTGTCATTTTATATTTTATAATATATTTTATTAAAAACATATGTAAACAAAATATAATGTGCAATATGACAGTTATCAATGTGCAATTCATCTAACAATGTGGTGCACGGTGTCAGTTAAGTATTTTGTGCCGATTAAACCGACCGAACTTTTTGTCCCAAATCGAATAAAACCAAACAAAACTACTTGGTTTATTCGGTCGGTTAAATAATGTTTTATTTATATCAAAATTATATTTAGTGTGCTAATAATTTTATTTAATATTTTTATATTATTTTTTGGTTGAAAAATAGTATATGATATAGCGAAAATGATAAAGTGCAAACACACAAACACAAATGTGCAACTAGTATATCATTAATGTGCAATTCTATTGAGCGATTATTTTTTTAAGTGCATCTCAATTTTAAAAAGTTTTAATAATATGTATTTTAATTAATATTATTTGTCCACACAATCATACTAATGTACCTTCTCGATTGCATTAATGTGCGTTTGGCCTAACATATTGTGCACTTTGACAACTATTAATGTGCATATTATTTAATATAATTGTGCATTCTACAGTGCATGATTTTTTATATGTGTAATTCAAAATATAAATTGAACCGATAAAATTGATTTATTCGTAGGTTAATCAAATTAACTTAAATAATAATAACAAAATTATTATATATATTATAAAAGTTTATTTAGTATTTTAATATTTTGATATTATTTCTTTCATTTAAAATACATAATATATATAGTTATGGTTAAAATACATAATTTATATAGCTATAAGAAACAATATATAAAAGTTAATATTTTTTATATATTTTTATAAATTACATATTTGGCCCATGAGCTAAATTGAAATACAATTAAAATATCTAAAATTGCAATCAAGCCCTTGAGTTGTATCTAATTTACAAAATCAAGCACCCCAAAAATAGCAAAACGTGAACCAACTCAGGCAGAGCGCCGTGCCCGCCGCCTCGCCATTCAATCGTCATCGTACTCGCCGAATCAATTGTCCTCGTCGCCGCCAAGATCGCCGGCGAAGTGGATTGATATTGGGAACATCAACCTGTGCGTGTGTGTGCGAGATAATTTGTGCGCTCGTCTGCGACAATATTTCTATGACAATGGCCGGTGTTTGGATGCTCGCGATTGGATGTGTCGAATGTGCAGCGGCGCTGAGCTGTTCTGGTTGTAGGTCCGCCGGCAGCAGTTCGTCCGACAACAATGACGGCGGAATCGGGGAGTGTGGAGCAGAGTCGGGGAGGAGGCGATGGTTGGTGGCTGGACTGCTGCGGCGGCGAACGGTGACGGACTGGCGCTTGCGGAAGATACGTGCTGGCGGCGGCGGGCGGTGACGGGCTGGCAACGGTGGCGGATCGGTTTCAGGTGTCGTTTATAGTGTGTGTATGTGTGGGTTGGTTTATGTATGTGTGTACTAGATGAGTGTGAGAGAGAGAATGTGGTAGAGTGACATGGGGAAGATGGTGGGAGTGGGGCCATGTGTGAGTATGAAAAGTTACCACATTACTCTTAATGATGATATAATATTGACTTTTTTTTAGTCATTAGATCATCCGATCTAACGACTACAATTTATTCTCATTTCTTTCACTAAGCACCATTCTCATGTGAACCCAACCCTATATATATATATATATATATAAAAGAGGCCTTCACAAGACGACAAGTGACGAATTCCTTACTTGACAAGTGGTTAATTTGAGTGCAAATACTTCAATACCCTTTTTTAATCATCTTTGTAATACAATATATGGAGGTATTTTGGTAATTTAATCTTAGTAGCATTTAAAGTGATGGAGGCCGGATTTTTGGGCTGTAAAACTTATTCACTAAACTCCTCTTACAGTTGTTCATTAGATTCCAACATGCTAAGGCTATTGTCGTCTATTCAGTCTGACAGATTTTCGCTGCACGAAAGCTTTTCCATTCTTGAAAGATTTTTTTATCTTCTTCACGCAAGTTACGGGATTCATTTTGATTTTCTTCCCTTTTTCTTCTTCACGCAAGTTGCTGTCTTCTCTATAGCCCCAATTTCAACCCTCTTTCTATTGCCTTGCGGACTCAAAGCAGTCCCCGGGAGATCTATGGCCACCGTATTGCCGTCTGTGAACGAGCTCAGGGTCGGATCCCAAAAACGGCAGCATACAGAAAAACCCTAGCGACCCAATTTCGATCGCCGCCTCCTGCTCGACCTTTTGAGACCGACATCACCCACACGGCGTGGGGGAACTGATGCTAATAGCAAGGTGTGCAACTTGGATTGGGGGGCAACGGTGGCAACTAATACAGCACCCTCTACTGTGTCATTTAAGGACCATTGGATGATATTACTTTAATCTAATGGCTCAAAATTTTTATTTATTTTTTAATTGATTAGCATCCTGATATATCTAACATATATTCTGTTATATTTAACATATATCTAACATATATCCTGGTATATCTGACTTTATGTTCTGTTATATTTAAATTATATTTTGTTATATTTAACACTTTTAATATTATGTCAGGTGTGTCTCGAGCGATTGTACATGGTTTGTGAAAGCTTCCCGTATGGGTCGGTCAAACACTTTCAAGGTAA